CCTTATTTATGCATAAAGGGCCTTTGGCAGATAACCAGACCTTAGGTCTCAAAGGACTGCATCCTGGCTCCAGACAACACAGCCCCAGTGCCCTCGGTGAAGCCCAGCATTCTCCATACACACAAAGTGGGGAAGAACCCAACCACCACACTGCTGTCAGACCATGGCCCTGGGCAGCTTATTAAAGGCTCCCAGAGGCCTTTTGTCAATTGTCCTCTGAACCAATATAAACATCTCCACTCTGCCATTCAGGGGACATCCTGTTTACATGGCAAGTGGGGATCTTGGTTGCTTTCCCTCTTCTCCTTTTTAAAGGCTGTAATTATGTTTACCCAAGTCCAGCAGGAGGTGCCAGGCAGGCTGTGAGTTGATTTCCCTGGCTAACACTGCAGACGGCTGGCGGCAGCCCCACTGACCCCTGCATCCCAGGCAGACAGCCAGCCCTACACACACCAAAACTCTTCCTACAAAGACGGCCATTCTTGCTGAGCTGTTTTCTTTGTATGCATGCTGGGAAGCTCTGGATAATTGTCCAGCAAATGACAAAATATGTCAGCACTGTGCACGTACAGGATAACTGGTTAATGAAGGAAGGGAAGGGCAGAGAGTTCAGCGCAAGACCTCCCGGGTACCACACAGCATACTGTGTATGTTCCACATATTGTTGCCGTCAACCCCGGTACAACCCAGAGAATTAGGTCATTACCTGACTTCTAGAGATGAGGAAATTAAGCATGGGATCACTCTGCTACTGGAAATTAAACCAGAGCCATCACACTTTATAGACTATGGTCTTTCTACTCCAGGCCAAAGAAAAGGGGGACGGGGGCAGAGAGTTTAGAACTCTTAGAGTCTCTTATGGAAGCCCAAATGAGTTGTTCTGACTCAAGGTATCCCAGGTGTTTCAATCCTTTTCCAACCCACCATAATGTATTTTCAAACATGAATCCAGTGCATTTTAAATCATACTGAGTCATACTTCTTATACGTCTGTGTAAGCTGCATTCAGAACAGCCCTACCATTGGCAATTCCTGTAAATGCTGGGCAAAGCATAAAAATTAACTACAAAGGATTTTAGAAAGTAAGCCCCAAGAGCCAGGTGTGGAGGGAGATGAAATTTGAATTTTAGAGACATGTCCAGCATGGGAAAGACTTTCTCCCTGGTTGGTTGCTTGCTTGCTTTGGTTTGTTTTTGGTTTGGGGGAGCTTTCGCTTGCGGGTTGGCCATCGTCTTAGGTTGGTGCGTGTGACGTGTGCCGCTGAAGTTCTGATGGAGAGCCTGGCCTGCTGTCTTTGGAGGGAGAGCTCACAGGGGTAGGCACTCAGAAACCACAGCAAAAGGCTGCTGAGGGATGGCGGGGCTGTGGAGGCAGAGATCCAGGGAAGGACTCGGGCAGACAAGAGGCTCCTCAAATTCTGTCCGAGAATCCTGCACCAGTGCCAATCCAAGCCAAAAACACACACATGCAGGCCAAACTCAAGGTAGCACAGCAAAGGCTTTAAGTAATTGAGTAGAATTTTTGCAGAAGGTGAGACAGAGCTTGAAATCTGAGTCTTTCTAGAATAATTGTTTGCTATGACAAAGGCATCATATTTTTCATAGGAATAAAATATATCTCAAAGAGGAGCCCAGGAGGAAAGAGGAGAACCTGAATGGAAGTGAGTAAATAGGAAACTGCTCTCAGCACATTCTATGTTCAGGGCTACTCTTGGGCTCTTCACTCCCTCTTGCTTGGCAGCATTCTCACTACTTGCTGATGGCCCCTAAGAAGGTCTCTGGGAATCCCTGACTTGTTGAACTTACTCCTTTATAATCGCATACCCCTTGAGTTTGGGCTGGACTTTATGACTGGCATCTAACAAATGCAACAACCAGAAGTGATGGAATGTCTCCTGCAAAATTAGTTACAGAAGAGATCATGATCAGTCTGTCTGTCTCTCTCTCTCTCTCTTTCCCTCCCTCCTCCCTCCCTCCTTCCCTCCTTCCACTCTGGGGAAAACAAACTGCTGTGCTAGAAGTAGCCCAAGAGTGAGGCCATGGATCAAGGGACTGGTATCTCCCTCTAAAGGAGACCTGAGGCCAGCAAAAGGCACATGAGTGAGCTTGGAAGTAGATCCTATCCCAGCTGAGCCCTCAGATGACTGCAGCCTTCAGATAACACCTTCAGCACTGGCTTGTGAAAGATGTTAAGTAAGAGGCACCAAGCCAAGGCACAATTCACAAAGTCCTAAATCACAGAAGCAATAGATAATACATGTTGAAGCTGCTAAGTGTGGGGGATAATTTGCTACACAGCATTGGATAACGAATACACAGGACAAGGGCCAGTCCTAAAGGGAAGCAGGGAATGGTGTAGATGAAGAACACAGTGCTTGCTACCTAACCCCTGTAAACCCCAGGCAGACTGTAACCTCATATTATAGCTCTAGAAATCTATAAAACAAAGGTAAAAAGTTAGCCCTGCTTTAGAGATATTTCCCAAGAGAGCATTCACAGTTCGGTTGCAAGCTGCTATTAACTCACATGATTTGGCCTCAGGGAAAGATAGTACTTTTAAGAGAACAACTCAGTGACAGCAAAAGTGAGTAAAACCTGAGATAAAGCAAGACAGAGTCAGCTGTGAACCTGGTCCTCAAGAAGGGGTGACCAAGAGTTAATAATACTGTGACTATAATGTGACCAACATGGGTGAGAAAAGTTTGGGTTGGGTAACAAGGGGTACCCGTGTCCGGAGATGTCTAACTTAGTGATAGCAGAGGCAACCTTGTGACTCTGAGTCAGTCTACTGGGAAATGACTGTCCCCTTTGGCTGATAAAAGGAGAAATCTGCAGCTTGCCAGGGTGGGAGGCTGCCAGGGTTAGATCAGCTATAGACCTGGGTTATAAACAGCAAAATAAGTCAAGGAAGAATATTAATTCTGTAATGTGGGCCACCAGGATGGATCCTGAAGGAAGCCTCTGGCTTGGTGGGCTGGCTAGAGCCCCTATCCTCACCCTGGTCATAGCAGGTAGAAGCCTATTGCAACAGGGCAAATGTAGGCTCCAGAGTGGTACAGGCAATATTTGTTGTATAAATTTTCTAGGGAAGATTTCAAATCAAGACCAACCACTCCCTTCTTTGCTAAATTATTTTTACTGAGATGTATAGATCAAGTGTACATAGACAGGTATATACAGGTATATGAAAAGCAAGCTTTTGCCTGGGGTTTGCTTTATGGCACAGGTAAACTGGCAAAGAATGCACTTACAGGTATAACTAGTAAAACTTCTAGACCTGTGTTGGTTAAAAAAGCAATACACCAAACTAAAAAGTTAAGCAAGAAATTTAAACCATATACTCACATTTGTACCTAATATAATTTATATCATATATACTTGCAGCTTATATATTTGTTAATATATTTATAGCTCATATATCTCAGCTAATCTAAAGAGCTCATCCTATCAGGAAAGTATAACGAAAAATAATTATCATTAAAAACAATTTCATATATATAAAACCCAGGATCAACTATTTTAAAGTAAAAATCACAACTGATCAAGATGGAAAATATGGACTCTTTCTAGAGTTCAAATGGGTTAGTAAACTGAAACAAGAAAGTACATTTTCTACAACCCAGGTGCAGAAAGTTTTTGTACACCTCAGTTGTGGCATAAAGTCTCACCAGATAGTGTAAGACCTATCTTCTATTTATCTTACTATTTTATTTGATATTGTCCCTGAATTCATCTGCCCCTCTCCTATTAGCTTACTTTACCATGGATCCCACTCAAACATGTACAATTTTATGTCTTTGAGTAAGTTATTGTATTAGTTTCCTCTGTTCTTGCAACAAACCATGTCAAGTTTGTTGACTTAAAACAATAGAACTTTATTCGCTCACAGCTCTAGAGGGCAGAAAATCAAGATCCCTTCAGTGAAACTAGGAAAGAGTCCTTCCTCTTTCAGCTTCTGGTGTGTCCAGCTGTTCCTTGACTTGTGGTTGTGTCACTTCAGTCTCTGCCTAGACTTCTGTGTCTTCTGTATGTATCTTATAAGGATACCTGTCATTGGATTTATCTGATGCTTTGTTTTTAAACAAATGTAGATGAGGACATCATCATTGATGTCCCTTTGTGGATATAATGCAAGTTTTATCTGCTGCATAGTCCCAGGAGTGGTATACTGGATTGTTTAGGATATAAACACATCTTCTATTTCTCCAAGTATTACCAAGACTACGTCTGCTCCAGCTAACTCTCATGTGAATGAAAATTCCTCTTTTCCCAGATTCTTGCTAACACTTGCAGTCATTCAATTTTATAATATTTGTTATTCTAGTTGAATGTCTTGCATTTTCCAGTATCTACAGCTTTACCAAGGACAAATACCTGAGCAAAGTCTCATGTTCCTCTAAGTTTTTGTTCTAGATTATAGTAGATATGATTTCCTTGTCTTTTCACTTTGTTCCCCTTTTCTTACACAAGAATTCACTTTGCTTATTTATTTACACACCCTTACTTCTGAGGCCAGACATTTTTCTACTGACCTTTGGCCCCATACACACCCTGCTATACCCTCCTGGAAGAAGAACAAGCAAGAAGTGGGCAAACAACACTCCGCAGACTGCCTTGAGACCTAAATTCTCATTAGGTCTTGCCAATAGGAAGTACTTGCACCTGGTGGGCAGCTGGAACGAGGGCAAGGCCATTTGTTACTGGCAGTGCCTCAGCTGCAGCAGTAGTGATGGCTTCTGCTCAGTGGCAGCCCTGTAGCTCCAGTGGCACTGGTGATAATGATCCATGGCTCCTGCTGTGCGGCTCCATCGGCTGTGCAGCTCCACTGGCTGTGCGGCTCCAGAAGTTCCTGCAGCAAAGGTGGGCTCACAAACCCCAATCTGGGGGCCCTGGCAGCTCCATGATCTCTGAGTAGAACACACCTTGCCCCTTTTGCTCCTCCAAAGATCATCATGATTAATTCCCCACATTAAAGCTCTCCCACTTTGAATGATCTAAAATTATTCCTTTTCCCTGACTGAGCACTGACTCATATACCTCCTACATTTTTTGCCTCCTCCTAGAATGATCTTTTGTCCTCCAACAGCACTTCAAAGAATGTATTTACAGGATCAACCTTCTCAGAACTAGAATGCCTAAGGATATCTTCATTCCACCCACTGAATTTCCCTGCTAATTTATTTAACTGTTAAAACCATGTTCATCCCAGTCTATGTTTCCACCCTCATTGCTACCATGAGTTTCCCAAGGAATTTCCTGCCCTCCAGGCCCACCGAAGGGTTGCAGCACCAGCAGCCAGATACCGAGGCTGTCCTGAATGGGACGGGCCTTGGCACTGGCACCTGATACATTACTGACAGCCACCTGTCTTTGTTAGATGATCCTGGATTAGGAATCTCACTGGAATATCCCACCATTAGTTTACATGCAGTGTCCAGGGACCCAAATGCCTAACTGTCAGAGCATTTGTTTGTTATAGTAAATGCCAAATTTGGAGAAGAATCAAAAGAACTTGTTGCTGATGAAGAAGACAGTGATGATGATGTAGAACCTATTTCTGAATTTAGATTTGTACCTAGTGATAAATTAGCATTGGAGGCAATGTTCACTGCAATATGTGAATGTCAGGTCTTGCATCCAGATTCTGAGGATGAAGATTCAGATGATTATGATGGAGAAGAATGTGACACGGACACACACGAACAAGGACAAGGATATATCCCTATGTTTTATACCTATGAGGAAGGATTATCACATTTAACAGCAGGAGGCCAAGGCTCCTTGGAGAGATTAGAAGGAATGCTTTCTCAGCCTGTGAGCAGCCAGTACAACATGGCTGGAGATTTAATAAGAGATTATGAAGATGGCATGCAGGTAGATACTACACCAACAATTGTTGGACAGTTTGAAGATGCAGATGTTAATCACCAAAAATGACTTATACTGCTATAAGATTCTGCTTATAACTGTAACAGAGAACTTGATGCTTTTTCCAGTCTGGAGTGAGATTGATGAAAATCTTTTTGCTTCTCTAAAACTCACTGAACCGGTTCTTTCTTGAGACAGCAAGTTGTTACCAGAAAAAGAAACTATGACCTTTATTTTAAAAGGTGAATTAAATATTAAAAAAAAAGTTTAAGTATGACTCCATTATCTCTTTGCATCCAATATTGCTACTGGAAAATGTAATGACAGCTTTTTCTTGTTCTTTTCAAGGTCATTTGTTCTTTCAGGAATCTTTTAAAATTTCTTTTTCCTCCAAGTTCTTAAGTTTCTCTATACTGTGTCTACCTGTCAGTTATTTGCCTTACCTGTACTGTATGACACTCTAAAACTCCTCTCAGTTCAATGTCATTTTTCTATGGATTGTCACTAATTCTTAAAATAGCTCTTCTCTACTCAGTATTCTCATTCTGAAACACCTATCATACTGATCCTTCCACTTACATATTCCATATCTCTCTTTTTTTTTTTTTTTTTTTTTTGACAGGCAGAGTGGACAGTGAGAGAGAGAGAGACAGAGAGAAAGGTCTTCCTTTGCCATTGGTTCACCCTCCAATGGCCGCCGCGGCTGGTGCGCTCCGGCCTGTGTACTGCGCTGATCCGGTGCCAGGAGCCAGGTACTTCTCCTGGTCTCCCATGGGGTGCAGGGCCCAAGCACTTGGGCCATCCTCCACTGCACTCCCTGGCCACAGCAGAGAGCTGGCCTGGAAGAGGAGCAACCGGGACAGAATCTGGCACCCCAACCGGGACTAGAACCCGGTGTGCCGGCGCCGCTAGGCGGAGGATTAACCTAGTGAGCCGCGGCGCCAGCCCATATTCCGTATCTCTTAGCTTTTCTTTATATCCAGTCCTTCCAATTACCCTTATGACACCAAACTCTTGAGTCTTGTTACTCATTAATTAGTTCACCAAGGCTTACATTCTGCTATTCAATCCCTCTGTTTTAGAGCTCTTCATTCATCTATTGCCTTCTTATTATCCATTATCTCTTGAGTTGGAACCTCCTTAGGACTGACCATCTATTTTTGTTATTCTGATATAAATATATGTGTGTATATATGTAGGATGTATTTATATACTTGTGTCTCCAGTCCATTGATTCTGAGTTCCTTTGCTATAGATTTCTTACCTCATCATCTTTCTTTTATAGCAGTAAAACTCCCCCAACCTCTCCCTGGTTTCCCCCAGTGAATTCAGCATACCAAGTGGCTTGACCAGCAAGGTGGCCTTGAATGCCAGGGTCAATAAAAGTCACCCAGAACTTAGGTTGGTTGTTTCCTGTGAGTTTAGAAAGGAGATGGAGGAGGGGAGTTGTGACTCAGCGGGTTAAGCTGCCAACTGCAGTGTTGGCTGTTGTAGCCATCTAGGGAGAGATCAGAGGATTGATGATCTCTTTCTCTTAAAAATAAAAAATAAGGACCAGTGTTGTGGCACAGCTGATTAACCTACTGCCTGTGACAGGATGCTGGCATCCCAGTTCAAGTCCCAGCTGTTCCACTTCTGATCCAGCTCCCTGCTAATGATCCTGGGAAAGCAACAGAAAGTGGACCAAGTGCTCGGGTCCCTGCACCAGCGTGGAAGACCCAGAAGAAGCCCCTGGTTCCTGGCTTCAGTCTGGCCTAGCCCTGGCTATTGTGGCCATTTGGGGAATGTACCAGAAGATGGAAGATTGATAGCTCCCTCTCTCTCTCTTTCTCTCTCACCTTCAAATAAAATAAATAAATCTTTTAAAAAAAGAAGAGGAGGAAGAGGAAGAAGAAGAAATGAGAGCAATCCTTCTTGGATGTTTCAAACTTCACTTCCACTATAACACACAACTATAAATGTTCCCATCCTGGGTCACCTGCCCTCCGAGAACTTCCTCTCCTTCCACCTGGGTACCACTCTACATCGCTCATGTGAAGTCTCCTAACCCACTAGGTGAGGACAGTGGGAAGAGGGAGGAGGAAGCCAGATATTCCAGTCACCATTCGTGCTCACTTCCTGGCAGCTGGGTTCTATCTCTCCCAGAGCCTCAAGCTAATGCCAGATGGTTGTCATTGTGTTCCTGTCCTTACAGCAGGCAGTGGTCACCTTCCTATTGATTTTGTTTTGATTTATCCCCAAAGGCCAATTTCATGATGTTGCTTCCCTGCTCGAACACCTTTAGTGGAGTTCCATTATCCAGGGCATTATACACACCTAGCATACAAGGCCTTCTCTAATCCACCCCTCTTTCTCAATACTTTCCTCTACTTGGCATCCTCAAATTTACTTTGCCATACCATCTTTAATCCTAGGTAGCACAACTTCTTATCCATAGCAGAAACACAATAATACATACACCTCTTACATGATTATCCTAGCCACAAATTAATGAAAGTAAGGAAATAGCAAAATAATTGTTTTAGGTACAGAAAAAAGAAAAAAAAGAGACTTTCACATACAAAAAGTGGAAACAGGGGTCAGTGTTCAGGCACAGTGAGTTAAGCCACTGCCTGCGACCCTGGCATCCCAAATGAGTGCCAGTTCAATTTCTGGCTGCTCCATTTCTGCTCCAGCTCCCTGCAAATGTGCCTGGGAAAGCCGCAGAAGACGGCCCAAGTGCTTGGGCCCCTGTGCCTACGTGGGAGACTCTGAAGAAGCTCGTGGTTCCCAGCGTTGGCCTGACCCAGTCCCAGCCCTTTGGGAAATGAACCAGCAGATGGAAGACTTCTCTCTCTATAACTCTGCCTTTAAAATAAATAAATACATCTTTTAAAAAGTGGGAGGACACAATTCACCAGCACTAGGTCATGTGTTAAGCATTTTCCACAGTGTCAGAGAAGGGCTTGCAATAGAGGGTGAGCCAGACTTGCTTATTTGATCTTTCTCCTGTTCAAGCTTTCACATTGTCAAGATTTCTTAGTAGTGTGCAGCTATGGAAATTAACCTCATGATGTTGATCCCATTAGCAGCATTTCAACAAACAGAAGCAAACCTGTAAGGGAAAAGCACTAAATGATGATGTTGTAACCTAAGTCCTCCCATCTAATAGCTTAGGTTGCTGGCCCTAGGACCAAGGCAATTTGCAGTTATGATCTCTTATCCTCAATCACAAAAATTTGTCAGTTTAATGGGAAGTAAAATGAGTCTTTCTTTAAATACAGACATCACGATAAACTCACACATCCCGAACAAAAGCCAGGCCTGCTTCTAAAAGGAGAAGTGATCAAAATGTCCAGACAGCTGGACTAGATTTCTTTTGATGTTTCCACCATTTGTCCTTGGAACACGAGTCCTAAGTGCCTTGGAGAACATAGTGCTGCCAACCAGGATTCTGCCTCTTTAAAGGTCTGTTTATGTCTGCATGACTAATAGTGCTTATGTGTACTTAGGAGGAAATACCAAGCTAACAAGAAAGACCACAAATCCACAAAATTTTAATTTCTAGTTTTGGGAGAAGTTAACCTCCACATTCATGTTTTTGTATTATAAATTTTGTGACGACTTTAAAGTTTGCCATGGTATTTATGGTGATTTCATTACAAACCACATCTTCATCTTTTAATTTCTTTCCTATTTATAATTATACAACTGTAATTAAAAGGTATTACAACTACACGCTATCCTAGCTAGAAGTTTGGCCTGCCAGACCTACAATATTCAAGGCGTTTCTCTGGTTTTATTTCTTTTCTCCATTTTGGAAGAAGGGCGGAGAAGAAAAAGGAGGCAATGGAGACTTGGGTCATTATAGCCTCAAATCCTTTCATCAACTTCTCTTTGTTCCTTAAAAAAAATTAGGATTTTTGCAAACAGTCCCCCCACCAAATGAAATGTTTTGATGTAATAGTTTCCATTTCAGCTTCTCACCACATCTGAAGTGACGCTCACTCAGACTCACTAAGAGCATGCAAAGGACTTCAAGGGTTGTTGAGACTTGGATTGAATTCTGTCTTCCAGTTCTAGTTGCCAGCAGCCTCTGTCCCCATTGCTCAAAGGACCCTGGAGGCTGAACGCCACGGCCAGGTGCCTCTCACCTTTCTCTCCCAGCACATGGAAGATACTTGTGTGTGCGGTCTTTTCCACAAGCTAATGAGTTATCACTCACGAGTCCAAGAAGATGTTTTGGAGGCAAGAAAATGGAGCATCTAAACCTCAGCTGAAAAGACTGTCATGAACTGATAATTAACCACATTTTTAATATCTTCAAAGAAGGTTGAAACTGTGGAGCCAAGCAGAGTCACTGCCCTCAGGGAGTTCACACACCAGCTGGAAGAAGGACGCACATCTGTTTTCTGCTAATGTACTATCCAACTTTCAACCAGAGAACTGATGCTCCCCAGCCCACATCACCCAATGGGTCTAGTCGCCACTGGATACCACCTACTTGCAGGCCCAACACATTGCAGTAGACCAACAAAATTACTTTGGGTAAAAGAGTCCTGGTTCCACCAGTCACTTTTGTTATAATTATTGCTACAAATGTGGCCTCCCATTGGGCCCCGATGACCAGACACCATTTCTCTCATGAAAGATTCCACTGGAGATCCTTTTGTATACTGTTTTTATTAATAAAGTTTTATTTTTGCCAATGTACAATTGGTTGGGTCTCGCTGGGTATCTTCACCAGCAGCTGGGGCCTTTCTGCCCTTGGTGTTTCTGGTGTAAATCACTCGAGCTCTGTCCTTTGAAACCAACTTGACAAGCCTCTATTAAGGAGCTCCTGAATGGCTGCCCTGGCCAGGAGCTGCAAATCTTCAGTCTCACAGAGACCACAGCTGCGTCATGGGTTTACAGTTGGGAATTTCTTTACAGAGAGTGACATAAACAGCTGTATCAGACAAAAATCGGTCATCGAGTTTGTCCCAAAATTTGCCTCTGACTCACTTCTCTCAGGTCTTGCCCCTAGATTTATTCAGCAGGTCTTTGTCTTTCTTGATCAACTTTCTGGTATCTTCTTGCTGTTGTCTTTAGTTGGCATTGTGAAGTTCAGACAGTTGTGGCAAAGGATCTTTTCCTAATGATAGTTGTTCACTCAGTGCCTAGGCCATACCCCATATCAACTAAATCAATGTCTTTGGGAGTGAAACCTAGGCATTAGGAGTTTTTAAACCACCCAAGAT